AGATAGATAGATAGATAGATAGATAGATAGATAGATAGATAGATAGATAGATAGACACATTAGAACATATAAAAACAGAACATATATAATAGAACTTATAGAATGTATATATAGAAAATGTATATACACATATGCATACACATATATGAAATATACATATGACACATGTATACACACATATATATCCATTATATAAACATTCTATAAGTCCTATTTTTCTAGAAAACCCTGGTTAATATACACCCCATCCAGTTTTTCTCCATTCCTTCTTCATTTCATCCCTCTTACCTGCTGAGCGGAAGAACAAGTCCCCTTCATAGAGGTCTGATTCACATTCCTTCGTACTGCTAGGCTAACTTTCCACAAACCTCCATATAGTGATTTTTTTCAAAAATAAAAACTGAATCTGTCCATACTTCTGTTTAAGGCCTGTACTGTACACAGAGGAATGCTTAATCTGGGGCGAGCGATGGTCAACAGCCTGGGGGATTCCACTTCAGAGGATTGATAAATAATCTCAAACCATAATTAAAGTTTTATATAAAGGTATATTCTTGTTGGGAGAAAATCAGTAATTAATTCCATCCCCCAAAGGAATCTGTCACGCCCCAAACACCCTTTGGTCCCACTCACGCCCATCTCTCTGGCTTCATCTCCCACTGTGTTTTACAACTAAGATGCCCAACTGCTGAGGCACACATGCCAGAGAACTGCCACTTACTGCAGCACAGCTTTGAGATCAGACACAGTTAGTTCTTTCTTCTCAGCAGCAACTCTGCTGACATTGCTGGTTTGGGATGAGCTCATGGGCACAGGCAGAAATCTCTTGACAAAGGACAGAGCCACCAGTTGCTCAGATTTCTCTCATTCTGTCTAGCGTCTCCTATGATCACATCGCCTCTCCTCTGGTGCTTCTCTGTGAAAGCCAACTGGTTTACCTTTATACTTTCACCAGGCTCCAATATCCAAGTTCCCTAAGGGGAGTGCTATGTTTCTCTTTGTAACCTCAGAACCCATATCAGATATTCAATCTATATATGTCTTAGAACTGAAATAGACATACATGCCCAGTTGGACACACACACAAACACACACGCTCATTTTTAATACAGTCACATATAAAAGAATCCAATTTCCCAAGTCCAAGTATAATATCACAGCCAATAAAAAACTTGCACTCATTGAGACTAGACAGAGCAATGAAACCTGTTCAGTGACACCAACCATAGAATCTATGTTAGAGTGTCACATGTGAGGTTTGTGCTAATACAGGGAAAGTGGAGAACATTGGCCACAAGTAGAGTGGCAGAAGTGTGTAATAACATTTGGAACTTCTGACATTCTCTCAGTCTTACTGGCAGCTGCTCTAATGCGTGCCATTCACCCACTTCATGTACCTGATTGACAAAAAGTTACAAAGAGCCAGGGACTTGGAAATTGGAGCAACCAAGGCACATGGACCTTGTCTTCACTACACCCTTTGCTTCCAAGACAGAAAATGCCACCCTATTGGTGCCAAGCCCAACTGTGCACCAGTACAGGCCAGGAGGTGGAGAGGGGGGGTTATAAGGACACTATAGATGTGTACAGTGAACAAATGAAAAAAAACTAAGGATGATGATGAATCACTACAGGCCTCGAGGAGTTGGGCACTGAGGGACACTAGAGTCTCAGAAGGACACACAGATGCCACTGGTCTTCCAGCTCTCATTCCTTCACAGTAGAAGTGGCTAAACGTTACAATGAAGCTAAAGAAGAGGATGGCTGTCATAGCTCATGCTGGTGCTGTGTTTAAAAGGACTCTGACATCCCTTGATACACTGCAATCCGCTTTTAATATGAATATTCAATTATTTCTCAAAGAGCTAATTATGACTTTTTGTGCTTGTGTGTTCTTATTCTTACTCTTGGTAAGGCTGGCCACTCTTTCTTTTTAATTTTAAGACTATTTTGAGCTCTAAAAGTCCTCTGGGAAATGCAAATATTCCTCAGACGGGTCCCTAAGCTGTTCCATTTCCATTCTACCCTACATGGAGACTCTATAATTGTAACCAGTGTAAAAAAAAAAAATAGGCCTGAGATTAATGTACTAACATTGTCCTAGAGAACCAAGTGAAGCTACAGAAATCGCAACTGAGTCATCTTGGGACAAACATTGCTTTCTAGTAGCATGTGAGGAAAATGAACAGTAGACAGTGAGGTTGTCAGAGTCATTGTCCAGTATTTGACACACATAACTTTTCACAATATCTGACTGGAAAATAACATTTATTCATATAATACACACACACACACACACACACACACACACACACACACACACATGAATACACAATTCCTCCTACCCCACCCCCAGGACAACAGGTATTCTCTGCATCTGTCCTAGAGGAGCCAATATAATAAGGTGATGGAATTCTGAAATTATTCAGGGGAAGGATTATTAAAGTCACCCTGTCACCAGCCTTGTCCTTGGTAGGCTGACTTTTAGCATCATTCTCAAGAATGACTCACTAGTTTACAGCAGGTCCTCAGAACAGGGGCAGGAGTGAAAAGTCTGATGTGAGTGACCTGGGTTCTCAGAGGAAGAATCATGAAGGAGGCCAGAGGCAGGGGATGCAAATGCAATGCCAGCATCACTGACTTCCCTAGTGTCTTTCCTCTGCAGACTGATGCCGAAGTAGGAGATGCTCCTGTAGAATGGGATCCCTAGCAGCAACGAGGATAAGGGGCCCTCAAAATAGTAGAAAGAAGATGACTGTGTTTAAGAAACAAAGCAGATACAGCTACAAGAAGACTTGACCCATGGGGATCTTTAAATGACTCATACATCACAGTGACCCTAGGATAAATATGGATATAGATAGATAGACCACCTACAATAGAATTGTAGTGATGTGTATGTGTGTTTGTGCACTTAAATATACACTTTCAAATACTACAGTGAATACATGAGTGTAAGTCTAAAGCCAACCATCCTATAAAAAAGCTAGATGCTTTATCCAATTTCCAGGTCTATGAGAAGTACTATATAAATATAGCATATTTATCCCTTGGCTCCAGTCTCAACCTTTGTTGTCTTCTGGACCGCAAGAAGACTGCATTGCATGTACTACACCAGGGGTCTCCATGTAGAACCACAGGGGAATGAAGGAACAGAGAGTGACAAGAAGGTACGTATTCTCCCACAGTCCATGCAGGATGGGCCTTGAACTGGTTGTGACCCTCACTTGAAGGTAACAGCACTTCTCAACGTGACTCATCTATGTGATCCTCCCCTTCCAAGTTCCAACAGCCACCATCTCGTCTCTCCTCCTAAAGATGTGCACGACTACTTACCCTTCATGGTTTCCTTATGTTCCCTCTAGATCCATATGAAAGTATCTGTGAACGACCCAGTTCCAGAGAACTATATGTTCCTTGATCAAACGTTGGCAAATCTTTTGGACAAGAAGAGAGCAAGCCTTAGAGACTATTTCCAGAGTTCAAG